GATATCAATGTGATTCCAAATGCTAGGGGCAGGTTTTCATGGTCAAGGAATTGTATCATGAGGGTCACACTATCATGGTAATATTGATTTTTGGTGTAATGGCATTATGGGGTGTCTGTCTCTAAGTGTCAGCCCTGTGATAGACTGTCGACCTGTTCAGGGTGTACGCCATCTCTCACCCTGTGACCACTGGGATTGACATTAGTACATCTTATTCTAACAGAAACAAGTCTCCTCTACCATATGTTTGTATTTTGAGTATTTCTTTGCCAGGATAGAAGCTGTCTTCTCTAAAAGGTACAGTTTCTTTGAAGCCGGAGGCTTGCTGAATGCAGCAATCCAGATTGCATGGTGGGAATATAGGCCAAGAATCCATGGTCATTGACAAGCGATGTGCAGTGCCTTTGGGAAAATGAGCTGTGTTGATAAGACACCAGGGGATTCATGCAATGGAAATAGGATGAGCCAGTCAATCAGGAGACTAAAACCATGAGGCAAATAGATTGAGTGAGGGTGAACTACATAATGGTATCTCCATCATCACCCTAATCCCCCAAGTCCATTGATCAGTTGAACACTCAATAACAGGGCTCAGAGCTTGTTAGCTGACTCTGAGTTAACAGGTTTGTGTAACTTGTAAACTGCACGCACACACATAGGAGCACAAACATATCTTTGCAGGTCCAAACACTACTCTTGTCCTTGAGCAAGATAAGGGAATTATAACTGTGTGACATTCATTCAGGACAGTAAGCCTGGGCTAAGGGTGAAGGGTGCAATCTGTCCAGTCAGTGGTGCTGATCTTATCTCTATTTTTCTCCAATGTCAGGCAGATGACAGCACAGAGGGAGAGTGAAACAGAGAAAGAGGAAGAAAGGGCGATATGAAGAAAAGTCATATCAGGACAGTTGTTTGGGGTCAGCTGAGTGGGGGAAAAGGACACAAAAGGATGGAGAGAGATGGTGGCAGTATAAAAGAGGAAAACATCCAGATAACAGGAGGAAAAAGTGAATTTGAAAGTGGAGAGATTAGAGATTAAAGAGAATAGCATGCGTCACACAGTTAGCTGCAAGGAGCAAACAAGCAGCAGAAAGACTTACAGAGACAGAATCACTTAAAGAGGTCCATTTCCATGGTGACACAGTGAGTAGGAGGTGTGACGATTGTGGATTTGACACATGTTGGCGAACGGTCATCTGCACAGTTGGATGAAGTCACCTGCTACTTTTTTCCTTACCCCATTCTTCTCCTCCTCCTCCTCCTCTTTTGATTATCAGCAGATCCAGTCTAGCAGTCACCTCGGTCACGTGCCCCTGCATGTCTCCCTCCATGAGGAATGCTAGGAAAACTACTTGCATTGATGAGAAGATGAACATCAGGGTGCAAAAAGGTTTTGTCAAAAACTCAAAATGCTCACTGGGTTTTTAAAAGTTGTCAGCATCGGTTTAGGCTTGTATGACATACTGATTTTGGTTACTTTTTATAGTTTGAACTTAGTCAGAATCAGAATTATTTAAAAAGCATCAAAGAGAGTACAAAACTACTGTACAATGGAACCTTCAATTAGGTTATTTCAATTCGTTTATTTTTAAACAGATATCTATAGATTGTTGGGATATTGGGCCTGATTTAAATGGGTGTACCTTTGACAAGCCAGACAGAATGACACACTTATTACCAGCATTTGTTTTCTTCAAATTCAAACTCACATGGAAATTTAAATAGAAAGAAGAGCTAAGATCCTCAACTGTGCAAACTGCCTTTCATATGTAGAGTTGTTTCAGAGAGGATACATAACCACATTCCCCAGCATGGATAGTGGATGAGTCATGTCTGCCAGCCCTTACTGTTACTGTCTGATGGCTCCAGATTTAAGGGCTAGCAATCTGCATTCATCTCACAGACATACACTCTATCTCTCCCTCTGTTTTTGTCTTTCTACTCTCTCATTCTTACCCTTACACCATTCCTGTCTCTTTCACATACCCACAAAAACACCGCTGTCTTTGTTAGGAAACTCAATGATGCAATGCATTTCCCAGTTCCTTACCCAAACCTTAACCATCACAACTAAATACCAACCTTTACTCCAATCCTAACCTAAATCTATTTCTAAGCTTAACCTTAACAGCCCTTTGAAGCTGTGAGGAAAAAGTGAGAACCAGCCACAATGTCCTCACACTCCCATGATAAACAATCCAAATTGGACCTCACAATCCTGGCCATACAAGTACACACACATGCACACAGACACACACGCTGTGTTTTCATTCCTTGTGGGGACTTTACATTGACTCACATTCATTTCCTGTAGACTTATCCTAAACCTTAACCATAACCACTACTTGCCTAACACCTGACCCTAACCCTAACCTCACCCTAACCTTAAGCCATGTTGCGATCCTAAAATTCAGTGATTTGTGGTCCCCACAAGGATGGCCGAGTCCCCACATTGTGAGTGTGTTAACAGGTTTTGGTCCAGATAATGTAAGTAATACAAAGGCACAAGCAGGAGGGTGTTGGGGCTGGTGTCAAAATGACAACTCCCTGCTGTGCCGAACACACACTCAGTATGTTGTACTGACCACCCCTCAAGTGCTGAACTACTGTAAGTCCAGGTATTCAGCTGCAACCAATAAAAGATCTGAAGTGGTATTGTGAGACTCTTGGAAAAGGTCCCTGTTTCTATACATTTAACAACAAAAGGAGGGTGGAAGCAGTTACATACACCACAGTTTAGATCAAAGACAGGATATGAAACTGAGCAACTACAGTTAAAGGCAGACTAGACAGTCCCACCTGACATCTACTGTATCCCTGTGAGACATGATCACAGCACCCTGCAGTGACATAATGTGTGAGCGCAATGAATGACAAATGATAAGCATTTAAGCATCCCTAGCAATGACACCACAGATGTTTGCCAATTCACCATTTGCTGATTCATTACCAGTTAATGTTCCTACCAAAATCCAGCACCCACATGGTTCAGTTATCATTATGATGAGAGGTGAGTCACAGAACAGAGGTTCAAGAATATCAAGCAATTGTACGAGTGCCCGCTGACATTCTGGTGATACATCAGCAAATTCTCTTAAAAACAAGACTTGTTGCCTCCACTCAGGACGACATGACAGAAGTGGCCTACATTGCTGAGTTTGTCCTTGAAATGCAGGTTAATACAAAAAGCTTTTTTGGATGCAGATTGTGTTTTTTTTTAGCCAGATTTATTTATTTTTTTTTTTAGCTTAAATCACTCTGAAATACACTAAGTAGAATGTGCAATGTCATCAACAACACAAGAGGGAATAAATACTTTTTTTGTTGTGTTTCGCAACATAAAGCTCTGTGAAGAAAACTGGTTATTCTGCAGCTTTCATATAGATGACACTAAGCTACCGCTGTGGTCTGGTCTGAGCTTAAATAAACACCACGCACCACCCTGACCCAGAGTAACTTGACCTCATCTTGAACCACTGTTCTTCATCACTAGTTTGCAAGATGCAGTCAGACACTCTCCTTCCCCTCCGCCACAGCAGGTGACGTCTTAGATTGATTATCACTCACATTTTTTTTTCTTAAATTGGTTACTGCTCACATTTGGTAATTGCTTTCGATCCATTATATTTTTTGATATTTTCTTAGAAAATGATTAATTTGAGGTTACAATTAAAAGAGGGTGACATAAAACCGCTATTTTGTGGAACATTTCCAGCATTTTCATAATTTTTTATTAGATTTTAAACACTTATTTTTTTATAGTTGACTGTGGCTTTGATATTTCAATCGGTTTATGATTGACTGTTTGACATATTTAGCTTTCCCATGATTGATGGCTAATTCCCTAAAAACTGACTGCAGATGATGACTTGCTCATATGTTGTATATTGACTGATTATTGCTCAACCTTGTTTGGAATTAAGTTCAAGCCATGATTCTTTTTTCTTTATTGATTAGTTACAGTATCTAGACTGGCTTTTAGTCAATTATTCAGGCCACATATGATGTGCTATGCATGCATTTATATTTGATTTGGCATCCATGCATGCTACATTTTTTTGTTAAGTAAAATCTTTGCTAATTCAGTAAGTGGGTTGTTTTGCGTGGTTCATTTTCCCATCAGTCATAATGTTGAAATTCAGTGCTGAAAGTTTTGAATTTGGATTAAATTCTTTGCAATATTCAATATGTTGTTGCATCATGTTTTTGGCAGAGGGACACTAAAACTAATTGGTTTGGTATTAGATGGGCATTTTCCCCCTTAACAGTAAATTGTAGAATAAACTGCCTCCCGCCCAGCCTTAAGCACAGATTAATCAGGTAATCATCTCTTGTCTTATCCCCAATATACAGTCCATTAACATTAAGCAACAGATTTTCCTCTCCCTGGTATCAAGCCATGCATGCCGACAATGATTAGTAGCTTTAAGAATGTGCTTAAATACTGTAATTTACTTTCAGCACACTATGAACTACCACCTATCCCTCCCTCCCTTTCTTTCTCTCTCTCTGTCACACAGTTAGAGGATCATAACCACAGAACCATACTGCAAGGCATGTGTTTGTTTTAAACCCACTGACCAAACACAACCCAGTTGATAAGATGGGGCCCACTTGCAAGGAACAGGTACATGATATTATTAAACCCACAAGCACAAAACTTCTGCTTGTCCAGCTGCTTGTTGTCCAGCTGAACCACTTGTTCCCAGGTTCAAGCTTCACTATAGTGTTGTCAAAGCCTTTATCTTAATCCATCCTTCTCCTCTGGGAAAAAAGTGTCATTTGAGGATTTACTATGTACTACAGCCTACACTGCTTGTACATAAAGGGTCAGTTCAATGAATCTTATTGACTATATGCAAACAGTGAGTGTAAGTTTAACTGCATGGTTATTCTTGTGAGTGATCTCGTCTATCCTGCACCAAAAACAAGATGTCGCCAAAAGTGTGTGTAGGTGCGTGTGTGTCCTGCCAAGATAATACTTGGCAACTATCACTCATGAACAGCAGAGAGGGTACCCCCCCAAAAAAACCCTTTACCACCTTGATGTGTGTCTGAGCTCTCTCTCCCTCCCCCCGTGTGTCTGTCTGTGTGTTTGTGTGTGTGTGCATATAGGTAATAAGCTGCTCCTCCACTGCGCAACGATGGAGCTATCGCAACGATGGAGATGACGCAAACAGACTCGGCTCTCCAAAAAAGTGTTTCAAGACGAACATGGCGGCAACTTAACCGCGGTCCAAGATGACAATGGCCAACGAGAGAAAGGATTCTAGGCTTTCCGCTCAGGCACAGGACAGAGAAAGCAGTCTGCGTGCATCAAAGAGGCTCGTTGCTGTTCTTTAAAGGGATCTGCAAATCCAACGGCGGCAGACGCGCAGCATCAGTACCGAGAGGCTTGCAACAGCTGGTCTCCCTGCATCCCCGACGAGAGAACAAACCCGGGGAGGGACGATAGGGAGAGGAGGGCATGCGGTCAAAGAGGACGCCGTTCCCCCCCGGAGAGCCATGGAGAACCGGGATGCGGCAGCGCGAAGCTTAATCTGTGCGGGCGCAATAATTGGATCGGAATAGCACCGATTGCTGCGGGCGCGATAGAGGAGCGCCCTGGACCGGCGGACGCACGGCACCCCACTGTTACAGAGGAGAACCATCCATCTCTCCCAAAGTCAATGAGTATTGTGGCAGAGCAGCCCCCGCGGTGGAGTCGGCCAGGACAGCACTTTCCTAAAATATGACCAGGGGTGCTTGGATGCGTCGACAGCATGATGAAGGCTTAAAATACTGGTTTGCACCCCGAGAGAACGAGAAGCCATTTACCGAGTCGGAGCGGGCCCAGAGATGGCGACTGTCGCTGGCCTCTTTGCTGTTTATAACCGTCCTGCTCTCTGATCACTTGTGGTTTTGCACCGAGGCGAAACTGACGCGAACCCGAGACAAGCGGTCAGATAAGGGTCTTGCAATTACGGACATGGGCGAGTACCCAAACTCTCTCCACCAACACCGTATCCCAACATCACCTGACCCCCACCATCGCACCAGAGAGCAAGATGATATTTTTCTAGGGAATTCTACCAAACCTCTGTGGCGAATGGACACCTGTCACCCTGACAGCATGTCCAAAGACTGCTTTATTTTCACGGACGCGGAGACCGTGTGCCTCGGCCTCTCCGGTGGAGAGGAAAGGGGGACACAGTTGGCGTACGTGAATCTGAGCGATTTGTACCTTTCTTTTTGTAATTCCTATTCACTTTTGGATTTGTTTTACGGGTTTACGAGTCTGGGCGATTTGAATTGCACCCTGGATATGGCCATGGGGGTGGATCTGCTGGGATGCCGCAAGTGTGTCCGGGCTTATCAGAGTCTTGACCAACAGGCGGAGGAGAACTACCGGGAGTTTGAACTAATGGTTCAGAAATACGAGACGGATGCATACTCGGTTAGGACGTGCATGGAGGAATGCAAGGTAGGACTAACAGGTCGCGCGCGCGCACACACACACACTCACTCACTCACTCGGGGCAAGGGGTGAGTTCACAGTCGTCATGGTAACCGTTGGGCATATCTGTCAGCGTACTGGTGTTGATTCGTTTGAATTCTATCAGGCTGCCATTGCCTTTACAGCATCATCTGTCCTGTCAGGGTTTGCACAAATACACAGCTGCACCTCATAAAAACAGCACGGAGGGTTAACAGGTCAACAGATACTCCTGCAGTCCTTCATCATCCTCTCTTTTCCCTCCTTGCTTCACTTTCCTGGGCTCTCTGAGTCTTTCTTCGTGAACTGTGACTGTGAAAGTGATGTTTGGCATTTGGAGTAAAGTCCAGGCTTGCACCACAGCTCAATGAAATGAGGTGGGAGAGGGCTGCTGAGTGGTGTTTATTTCAATATTGTTAATAGCACATGCGTGTCTCTCACCTAATCCAGGCTTTGTATTGTCCCCGGTTTACCTGTTGTTTCAATAGCATAGTGCACATAGTAGCTCATATTTAGGTTTTGCTTGTCAACAGCATAGCTTACCTAAATCTAAACACACACACACTCACACATGGTCTCCCACGTGTTACTTTAGGCATCAAGGCCCACTGAGCTATACTGAACAACAGAAACCTAGTAGTAAATAGAAACATGGTGGAGATACATGGGTTAAATTACACTTCAGTCTGTTTTGCACTTGACTGTTGCAGTGTTGCTTTGTCTCCCTGTCATCTGTGCATCCTCCAGTACTGAGAGAACGTCCTGCAAAAGGCCTGGTACTGTAGCAGGATGTAGTTTTTCTGTGACTGTGTAGATATAAAAATTGTACCTGTTGTGTTAGTGTGTCAGTAAAGTATGATTATACAGTAACTGACACAACAACCACAGCTAATCTGATTTCTTGGACTAAGGGGACTAACCCCTGATTAGCTAAACATGTTCATGAGCTCTTTTTTGGCTGAAAACACAGGAGATATGTTAAATATTCTTCCATGAACATGACTAAAAATCTGTGTTATTGAAGGATGAAATATTGTCAATAACATTAGGTTAGCAGAGATTTATGATGAGCCTGTATCTGATAGAAGTGCAGCACATGCATCATAATGCTGCGTGTACTGTGTCAGTAGCTTTATTTGTGCTTTGCTGATCAACTTTTCACCTTTGTGGCAACATGTTTTTGCGTTGCACCACAGCGTCACCAAGTTTCTCATTTTCAGCATTAAGGTTTTGAAGAATTGATTTAACAGTTGTTGTCAAAGGTGTCTTGAGAGCTGAATCATCACCACAGCAGCAGTATAACACACATCAGAGGATGAACCTCGAGAAGCAGGAAATCTTCTCTCACAATTGTCGTCATAATGATTCTGCAAGTCATTTCTACAAGATGGATGTTGCACAGGGGCAGATGGACAGGGTGCTGGGCTGTGAGTGATGATAATCCTTGTGTGTGTGTGTGTGAAGCAGGACAGTTAGTGGGAGGATCTACTGAGGATGAACCTTCACAATGCAATCATGTGCTGTTAATGTGTTTGTTTATTATGAGTCATGAATCTGTTTCTTATAACATAGCTGCTCCCTTCTTATGCCATCTACAGTAATCAGTAGTGTGGATTTCCACTCCTACTGTTTGCTAATGTACAAACACTCAGGTAGAGCTACAGCAGCCTTTTAGCCCCTTTAGCCCAATCTGAATTGCTAATCTGCTTCTCTGTTCGTCTGACCTTCGTGAAAGCACAGCACCCCAGGCCTGCATCACAAACTATCACTCCTCGAAGAACCACTCTGTTGGACAATGAAAAGACATTAGACAGCTTGAAACAATAATTGTTCACTGTTCATTCTTATCTGTCTTATCTATTTCATTTCAGGCATCTCCGCTCTTGTAAATTCTTCACCCACATTTAAACAGACGCTCAAGGTTTCTTTTTAAACAGTTTAAGTGAATTAGGGTAACATCCTACTGTATTTGTGCGTGCTGAACAGTAGATGGCTGGTGTCAGTGTTGTGTAAGTTTGGGAAATGGGAGAACAAACAGGAAATAAGATAAAAAGGCTGGAGAAGTGATAAAGGAGCAAGTGAGGTGAGAATAAGAGGAGAATTTGAAGGAGGTAATTGAAATTTTGTTTTTAAGACTGGAAAAAGACTTGAGTAGTATTAACAGACCTGGCGACTGAGCTTCATGGACAGATTTAGACTGTGGGATGTCATCATCAGTGAAAACAGCACTTTTCACCAGGATGGTCTATAGCACTAGGCCTGCCATGTTTTCTGTCAGAGAACAATGTTTTGCCAGAGTTTGCCAGTTATATAAGCTAGAGAATTGAAATCAAATTAATTACAAATCAAGCAAAACACATATATTTGGTTATTTGTTTAGTATACATTGAATATTTGCTGCAGAGGATGAAACAAACAACATTTTGCAAAGTTTAACACTAAAATCTGTATTGTGACAGATGCAGATATTTGAAAAGGCTGTCGGGGGCCCTGATGTAAGGTAAATTATTTGATAGAGGATAAATTATTTGCTGTAGTTGGATTACACTTACCAACATAAGTTATCTATCTGCAGTTCAGAGAAGCTCAATGTGGGATCTGCTTCAATGGACAGACCTCCAGTGTGTAAATGTCAAGAGAGGCTTGGCATTATAAGTGGACAAAATGCTCAGAAGTGCTTTTCTACGTCACCCAACTTTCTCCTTTGCTTGTGTCATAATTATTACATTAAATGTCGCCTAACATTAATACGTTAACCTTGGTTGTAATGAGCTGCTGGCACAAATTCTGGACTTGTTTTTACAGAACAGTGATATGTTGGCTTAAGTTTGATTGAATGTTTTCACTGTGGTCATCACATTCTATGAAAAGACCAAAGCCAACAACTTTCTGATCATCCCTGTATTAACAAATATTGACAGTGTAGCTCAGGCCTGATATACAGTATCTCATGCCTTTATGTCACATAGCTCCCACTGCATCTGCATGGGATGTCACAGTGACAAAAACATATGCATAACTAATACAATTAACAATGGCTGAATTCCATTTAGCTGGTTTTGCTTCATGGTCCTGGTATAATGCAGGTAACATTAACACTGTCATGGCTTACTGGGACATGTGAATACTGTCAATTCAAGTGGAGAGAAAAAGAAAAATAATTATATGTAATAATGGAGGACATGCAGTATATGGAAAAGAAGACTGTCTGTAACACACATGTTTTATGTGCATGTGCTTGGCATCTTTCTTTTTGCTCCCTATTCTTGCCATTTCTATCCTTTCTCACTTGTGTTTTCTAAACCTTTTGATCACTGCATGGACCTGTTTGTTTATTACTCACATGAGTGTGCCTGCAAACCGCACACACACACAAACACACACACATAGAGCCCCATGTGCACTGTTTCCTGCAGGTCCAGACCTGACTGTCCCTTCCGGTGTAATTTAATTTGCACTCCCATAATTCTCTGCTTTTCTGGTGGCTGTGTCTCCAGGGCTCTGCCTCAACATGTTGATGTCCTTTCTCCCTCTATCTGTCACTGTTTCTCACTTACATTCACATCCTCTCCCTCTTTGTCTTTCTCCCATGTGTGTCAGAGCTCTGAGGAAGCAACATGCTGTACAGTACACATTTGCTTAGTTTCTGAACTGACATCGCCTCCACCCCTCTTTTCCTCCTCCTTATGGACTTACTGTCCATCTTTGTCTTTATCTGTCTCTCTCTTTGTGCTAGAGTGATAGAGAATGATCTAGATTAAGGTCCTTTCTTTCCCTCCAATTACAGGCTTGTCCACATAGATCCCACTTTGTGCTTGTCCTTCACCAGCTTCTCTGCACCCCCCACATGTTCACCCTTTCTCCCTCTCTGCTTCTACAAAAATCCTGTATTCAGTTTAACCCCCATTCAATTTAGCTGTTTACATTTACATGGTACATTAAACACAAGGTGCAGCTGCGGTTATATATAAAGTTTGTAAAAAAAATCTACCGCAGTCTTCCTCATATTTGTCAAGATAGTCAACCAACTGTGCCTCACCATGTGGATATAAATATATACAGTACAAACAGCAAATCATAGAGCTATATGTATATGCAATGTGTTACCTTACAGCCTGTGTGGCTTAAAGACGGCTTTAACACAACTCATACTGTAATGTACACACCGTTATCAACACAGACTGCATGGCCCCATTGCAAGTGTTGCACTTTTCTCTCTCTCTCTCCCTCAAATTCAATTAAGGCTGTGCTGCTTCTCTGCACAGCTCAAATAGATCCAGGGAAACTCCCCTTCATATGAGCTGCCAGTGTTTGTTTCTCCCCAGGCAGGAGATAAGGGAATGCATCTGTTCAAGAAGAACACAGCAGCACTCCCATGGAAACGCCTCCTCATGGTCCTCTATTCCCTGTCTACGCAGCACAGCCAGGCCGTATAGCTCCCTCCATTGTTGCCTTGGGCCTCAGCTCCCGTGCATCAACACACCAGTTTCTTTCTTATCACAGCCCTTCTTTTAGGCCACTCAGAAAAAGTTCTTATCCTTACACACTTATGTACAGTATAGTATGGAGAAGTCCTGTTTCTCTGGTGTGTGGGCACTGGTGGTTAGATCTGCTAAAAAAGTCAAAGACTACAGTATGTGCTTGGCCAGTGACTGTGTAAGGACAAGCTGCACGCATCCAGTAATTCACCACAGTCCAGCTGCACTCATATGACATAAAAGTTGCAGTGAATCCTTTTCATGCATCCAGTATAAACAAATCTGTAACATAAACAAATTATGATTTTTACAAATGCACATGTTGCTGTTGCAATCTCTCCTTTATCCTGTTTCTCACTGGTATGCTTAGTTGAATGATTTGATGAGTGGGTGATGTGTTATGTTTGATTTTCTGTGACAAAGTGAAGAGAGAAGGGGCTTAGAGAGAGTGGAAAGGGCTGCTATTGATAAGTGGTTCTATACAAAATGCATTAAAACACCGGGGACATA